TAAAGTTCCTCTCAGAACATGAGATAAGAAAAACACAATTCCGAAGTTATGTACAAAGGTATGACTAAAATTTGTTAAAGTTTGCCATACCTCTTTATTGGAAAAACATGCCTATTTATTTACAATTACTGTCAAAGAATACACATTGTCCTATGATTTTTATCAATTATGTTAAGTCTTTTTTATTTACACGCCAAAAATTATTTTGGTAGGTGTAACACAAATATTGAGACGAGAAAATGTCCTTTACTTTGCAGGCTATATTACATGATGTTTCTAATGAAATTTTTGGTTAGCTCATCTTAACCATCAAATATCATTTTAAAATTACTTGATTTTTTGAGTTCAGCCTGTGTTGAGCTTATCAGTTTTCACCCACTCCCAAAAGAATGCATAAACACTTTGATCATGCAGTGCAAATAGGCAACAACATACTACCTTGCTAACATATGATAAGAGTTTAATATTAAAACTATCAACAATTAATAGTGAGATAAAAAAGTACAATTGCAATGTCTATAATCAATAAATAACTTTTCTTTACTAAAATTACTCTTTATAAAAAAGACTTTTATAAAAGATCAATTAAAACAACAAATCAACATGCACTAAGTGGAAAAGAATATTATTGTGATCCTCAAACAAAAAAAATGCTTATTTTTATTTTTTAATCTCTTATTTTTTATTTTATTTTTTAAAGTATATAGAATATTTTAAAAATATACAACTAGATAAACTGTCCTTCAAGCAACCAAGTGTGGGGGAATTATTAAATCTTTATGATGTAATTTTATTTGGGGGGCAAAGTTACCATATCAGCTTTTTTGTACTTCATGGTATTTCTCCTTTTGGCACGTCTAGGTCAACAACCAAGAATCTATAGTCTCAAAACCCTTACTACAAGAAAACTATAAACCTAAAAGCAATCAAGTCCTACAGCCTCTTTCACTAATTCAAGGGGATCAGACAGAAAGCATGAACTTTCTTGCAACTGTGATATTCTACATCTTGTGTAGGAACACAAAAGTAGCAACAAAGACATTAACAATTGCAGTTCAAGCTGGGAGTGACTGTTCTGTTTCAATTCAATGACACCACTAATGGCTTCTTAGCAGCTCCATGAAATCAACCAGCTGTCAAGTTGATGCATCAGAAGGAACAGTTACGCACTCCCATAAGAAAAAGCAACACATCAGGATGTTTGGCAAAACATCTGCTCCTTTACACTGCAGTTCTATAATAAACATGCAAACAAAGAAATGGGAGAAAGGGCAATAGAATTAAAATTCCAAGGTTTCCATTACAATCTTATGTGCATTTTAAATAAATGTCTTCTAAAACTAAAAACAAAATCCTGAACTGTGGAATACTTTACCTTATACATTTTTTTTTAAGAAAGCCAAACACAAAGAAATATTCAACCAGTGATTCCTCTGATAAGGCAATGTTTCACTACTCAGTTTCTCCTTTCCCAAATCCTTCCCATCCACCCCCAAAAATATACCAAAATTATCAAAAATATTTTAAAGTGACTTTATGCCATACCTATTTAGTAAAATTGTTGTAATATCATTATAAATGGGACTTATTAAACCAGTGAAACATTATGTTAAAATGCTCCTCTGAAAGATAAAACAACCCTTTAAAGATGATACTGGTGGGGAAATGTAATGGACAAGGAAAGCAGATATTAGGATTAGAAACTAAAATAATTTAAATTAACATAGAAAAGGATAGTTTTATTAGTACTGAAGGGCACTTGGCTTAACAAACATGAACTTTATAGATTTTATTTCTCAAATAGCAAAATAATATTTGTGTTTGAACCTCAAAAAAAATGCCTACATCTACTTTTCCTAACCATTAAAAGAATTCAACATACTGGTAAGCTCTCAGATATATCTTTATATTTTTGTGTGAGGTTAATATTGCCTTATTTCCAATACACACAAAAAAGGAGATTATTTGTCAGATTCACTTTAGAACATTTTAAAACTGAAGGCATTTCTTGTAAAACATCACTTCTCATTTCTGAAACATAGGACTCTCTTGTCTGAATTATTGATTATGCAGCACTGTGACAATAATATTCCCAGTGTTTACAATAGGTGTGAGACATCAAATATACTTAACTACCATTTTCTTAAACTGCTTATCCTCTGTTGCTCACCATTTATAATCTGCCAAATCTTCTAGTCCTTTGTTGCATGTATAATTTAGAACCATCTGTTCTATGTGCTTTTAACTATTTAAACATTTTCATCTACCTAAGAATCACATAACTGGCAGACTTTCAATTCTGAAAAAGCTTTCTAAAGTATTTTAAATAAAGCAAATTCCAAGGTAAATAGCTGAATTGTGTTAACCCAAAAGTAAGCTGCCTACATAAATATAAAAATATAACACATACATCATATGTTTTTGTGTGTGTTGAAAAAACCTTTTTAATGCACTTAGATTGTTCCTATTAGCTTCTATGACTTAATTGTAGTCAATGTTTTCCCCAACCCAGAAGACAAAGAGAATGCAAATTAAATACAGACAATTTCACGTCCTTGTTAGAGGAGATGTAAATATGCTGACTGCAAAACCTAGCAAGGCAAAATGACTAAAGGAGAGAGAATTCTATTTTTTTTTAAATTCTATTTACACTACCTAATATTTACAAAGTACTCAGTGTTTCATTAAGTTTTGTCATGTGACCCAGCAGAACTTTTATGAGATGAAAAAGTATCAATTGTAAAGAAGTAAATTTTCAAAGAACAGTACCTTTTATTGTTTCCCTTTTCACAATGGCTGACATAGACCTTATAGCCAGAGGTGATAGGGAATCTTTTAAAATCAATTTTACCTTTTGAATGAACACTATCAGCATTCTGTCAACCACAGAACTTAATATCTAGAACTAAAACAAATATTACCCATTATCTCCTGTTACTTTTTATAAACTTCTAAAATAGAATCACTGTAAATCATTACAAAATTAAAGCGAACGATAATAAACATTTAATGTATATTGTCCAAAATATTACAAGAAAAATGAGACTGGAAATAAAAGATTTATAATTTGACTCGTCAGTGAACCAGTCTAGCTGTTTTTAGTTTGCTTCAAAGAATAAATATTGTTTAGAAAGCAGGAAAAGATGTGCTGTATTAAAACTACCAAACGACAGAAAAAAAAATACTGTATTACTTCTCCACCTGTTACCAAAACATAAAAGTAATTTACAGGTTAGAGATTTAGGGGTTGAGTATGGTTTTTGTTTTTTGTTTTTTTCTTTTCCTTTTTTTTTTTTGAAGAGGAAGTTAGATGGGAGATGGGTTGACAGGTATTTTTTAAAGCATAAACGACCATCCTAACTTTATTCTAGAAGTTGCACAACTCTTTAAAGGGGGAGAGGGACATATTTTAAAGGGGGGGGGAACCGCTCTAGAAAAAAAAATTCCCTTAAACTTTACATGACGTCACTTGTTCCCGTAACATTTCCTAAACTTTGAGCCTCATCCAGACACACTTTGTGCCTTTCCAAATGTCCTTCCCCCTCCTCCAAAATAAAAGGAGAGACTTGGGAATAAAAATTGCCCAAGATGGCGAAAGGCTTGTTGTTTAGAGGGCAGAAAAAAATGGAGGATATTGTAATATACACAAAGGGATAAATTTCAACAACTCGGCCAAGGGCTGCAGCTGCTTCTCTCTTTATAAGGAAGCAACACACAAAAGATAAATACAGAGGGGGAGAGAAAGACAGAGAGAGAAAAGAAATGAAGAAAAATCCCCAACAGCGGGGCCGGCTCTCTGCCCCCTTCAAACACCTCCTTTCCGACATCAAATCTAGGGTGACTGTAACTCTCGCATCTCTCCATATGAAAATGTTTCGGAGATGTGGGGAGCGGGGGGGGGGGGGGGTTAAGGAAGGGGAAGGCTGGGGAAAGAGTTGAGAGCTTGTGGTCGTGGCCAGCCAGGAAATGCTGGGAGATTAGAGACGCACATCCAGACATCACCGTAGGGAAGGAAGGCAAAGCTCCTCTAACATTCCGCATCCAGACACAGAACACCCCCCACCTCAAACCCCGGGACCCTCGTCCCACCTGGCCCCCGACCACACAGCACCAGCTGTAAACCACAGCCCCAGCTACCCCGGGAGAGAAGGGCGAATAGCAGGCACAGGGCTGGAGAGGCCCATCGCGGGAGGTGGGGCTGGAGGTGGGGGGGAGCAGGCTGGAGCAGCAAAGCAGTCCAGGAGGGGAGGGGGGCTGGGGGCAGCGGGGAGGCGCACAGGGCTCTGGGGAGGGAAGGAAGAGGGTATCTGGAAACTGCCCCCACCGAGTGGGGCCGACGGCGGCAGAAGCAGCACAACCACAGCGGGTTGCTTTCCAAGATGAGCCAAACTGTTGGTGCGGCCCGAATGCAAGCAAGCCCTAGGGAACAGAGGGAGAGGCGCCCGGGGGAAGCTAGGGCAGCGGCCGGCACAAAGGAGACGTAGTAGCCCCGGTCGGCCAGGGGACTCCGGGACCCGCTGGCGTCCTCCGCAGCAGCCGAGACCGGCCTTCTTAAGACACGAACCCCCTACCCACTCCCCCGAAACCCCCAACGCTTGCCGCTAGGAATAAAGTTTAAAATCGCCTGGGACCCGCGCTCGCCCCCTCCCCCATCCCTCCCAACCCCAGGATCTGTAGCCCATTCTACACCTTCCCTAAACTCCAAGCGGGACCCCTCCAAACCACCCTCCCACCCCACTAACCAGCAGCACAACAAAGAGCTAACGCCGAGCAGCCGAGGGTAAACAGCAGCAGCAGAAGCGGCAGCAGCGGCAACGAGCGCCGGCCAAGACGGGCCACTCCGGAGTCCTCCCCATTCGCACTAGAATAGTTTCTCTTTCTCTGCGGCGACCCGACGTTACAGACGTGGGGAATCACCAGCCTTGCCACCACCACCCCCTCCCTTCCAGGCCCCCTCGCCTGCCACCCCTTCTTCCCTACATCAGAAGCTTTTAACTCACCTTGAGTTTCGAACTGAGTGGGAGTCGCTGTAGATGGATTGGTTTGGGTTATTTTACCCCCTTTCTTACCCTGATGGTCCTGAAGGTTACGATTTTTTTTTGTTTTGTTTGTTTTTGGTAACCTCCACCCCCTTCCTTATTACTCTAGTTGATTTTTATAAGAGAAAAAAAAAGTACAAAGAGTTGAAATGGAGGTGAGAGTTGCGATAATGAAAGCCTTTCTGCCCCCTCCCTCCTTCTCCGTCTTCGTTCTCTCTGGTTAGTTCCTCCCCAGCAGCAGATTGAAGTAGGAGATGATTCTTCTCTAGGTTTGTTCAGCGGCTTCACTTCTAGGCGAAGGCTTCATGAACCAAAAGTGACGTCAACCAGCAAGGCTTCTCTCTCTCCTCGCTCTCTCTTGCTCTCTCTCCCTCTCTCTCTCTAACAATGAAAGTTGCTGTTAACAAGGGGAAAAGAGACAGAAGAGAGGGAATTGTTTATATCATTTCAATTCCAATAATAAATGACCTATCAGAGCTCTTAAAGAAGCCATGGGAGGGAGGTACATTCTTCCTCCCAAGTCCAGATTATCTTTGAGTTTGCACCATCCTTGCCTTTTGGAAAAGTTAGAAAAGTTTTGTTTTGTTCTGTTTTGTTTTTAAAGGAGAGAGGGTGAAAAATAAAACAAGACCGAGTGATTTTTGTAAACGGACTGCGCTAGAAAATGGGGAACATTTTGGTTAATCATCAGTCCCTGAATTATTTCTTAAGGCAATTTGGAGTCCGGCTGGAGACTAATACAACTAAATATAGCGAGAATTCGGGATGAGCGTAAGAGAAAAAACGTCAAAAAGCAAGATGCTCAGGAGATAAACCGCTACCTCCCTTTCAGGGCAGGTAATGCTAATTGCAATGTATTTGTACTGCCTAGAATAAAAACACTGATATGAAAGCAGTCCTTGGATACTCCGTAGGCAGTAAATTATTTTAACTTTGACGTCCTAAAATAAATCATTTTGATACCGGATGGTTAGCTTTTCCCCCCTAGCTTCACATAAAGGTTGTAAAACGCTAACCTTTTTCCCTGACAAAACTGGTTAGCTAGCTATAGCAATAAAATACGTGTTATTTCATCAAGGAAGAGCAAAAAGACCGGCATCTCCTTACTCCAACCCTTTAAACTACACACGTGGTGTCTTTCTCTCTCGCTCCACACCCCTCCCTCTCTCACCCTTCCCCACCTACCCCCCTCACTTTTCCCCTCTAATCTTACACCTTTCTTTCTATTCTTACCCTTTAGCACTTTTCCTCCCCATCCTCCTCATCGATCCCTAACCTCAATCCCCTCCCTCAAAAAAAAAAAAAAAAAAAGTCATGTTAGGCCAGGGTTAAAGTACGCTAGGCACACGAAAGAGCGATTTCCAATAAACTAAGCAAATAAATAGATGAAGTTAAATTAAATAACTGCCAAGGCATTCATGAAGAAAATTGAAAAAAAAAAAACCACTTCATTAAGGTGTTTCTTACACAACACGCTAAAATCTCAAGATTTAACTTGTTCACCTTTTAGAATTGAGTAACTTAAATGTTCACAAATTAAAACTTTGAAATCCAGCAAGCTCTATGCTATTTCTGAAAAAATAATTGCATATTTCTCTGCACATGTATGGATAGATGTATACCTTAAAAAGATGTTATTGTTTTCTGTTTCCTCTCCAGCCACTGGCTGTGATTTTAATTGTACTGGAGGATCTTCATTAGTATTAACACATGGGGAGATTTCACAAAGCTGCTTCATTAGAAAAAAAAAAAAAAGCTTGGCAGACTAGGTCTTTTTGCATGCAATGAGAATGTCAGCCTTACCTCGGTCATTTGTAACATAATAAGTGCAAGTACAATGATTGCAAGGCAGGGACGCTGGGGGAAGGGCAGAGATACTGCCTGTCTAATAGGGATATCTGAAAAGAAAGCTCCTCATTACACAGTTAAATGTATGCTAAAAATTAGTGAAGATGATGTCTCAGGAGACTGATGCTAAATAAATTAATGTGCTGATATGTTTTTAATTATTATTTTTGTACTAGATTATTTCATTGCCAGAATTCACATTGAGTAGCAAAGCTGTGCTAGCACGTATTGATTTTTTTTTCACTGCCACATTCCCGGAATACAGATTTTAATCATTTCACTACACCACACACAGTAATTTCATTAAAAACTGGAACCTTCCATCCCCAGAAAAGCATTTAATTTCAATGACACACAATTTCTCTCTTAGCAGCAAACTGTCTCAACAGTAAAAGCTGGCCTAAGGTTCAAATGCATAATTTAATCTCGAGTTTTCCATGCTCTGCATTCCTTTGAAGCTATAATTTGTCTAACTACCTAATAACTGTAATAAGGACAATGATTTCCTTATAATATGTTATTAACCCATATTTAATTAACTCAGAGGCCAAGCTCTATACATGTTAGACTGGGTCAGTACTTCTATAACCTCAAAATTTACTAATAATCATCTAGAATAAAACTGTGGAATAAAAATAGAAGTATGAATGTAAGCAATTAAGTATTCCACACCAGATGCTATGCATCAGAAGTTCATATTTTTATACAACCATGGTATAGTTATTCAGTGAATAACAGGATTTTAAAACATTTGGAAATAAACAATGGATTTGGATGATTTAGTTCAAAATTCACTAGTGTTTCTATAGATACTTGGAATATCATTAATATTAATGCTCTAAAGTAGCCCTAATATTTTACCTAATGATTGGAACTGCTGCTGAAAACATTTAATTTTGAAAGGATAATCAGGAAAAAAAAAGATTCACATCATGTTGTCTTACAGGATAAGCTTCTATGAAAAATTGTCTTAAAATATATTACCCTTCAAATGTGTCTTCTGGCACATTGTAATTTGAATAATTAGGAATGCACTTTTTACTCAGAAATTTTAAACAAAACATTGAAAGGCACACAGTATTGATGTTGGCTTCAATTAGCATTTTAAAAATACTATTGGCCTTAAGAGGATGCTCTAGATTGCTAACAAAATGGTTTCATAAATATATGTAACTTCTATTTCCTGGTTGTTAGAAGACACAGTAGTTTAAAAAAAAAGTGAACCATTTTTATAAAATAGAATTAATGAACTTTATGCATTTTTAATTGTGTAAATATGCTTATTCAAAAGAAACTGCTTCTGTTGCTATATTTAAAGTGATTAACTATTACACCAAAAATATTCACAAAGTCAAAATTTGTGTTTTTTCTCCTAGGTGTTAGTACAGCTGTAATTTCCAATTGGGCAAGTAAAAAAACCACACATTTTTTAGAGAATAATAAGACATATAGACAAATTGACATTTCTACTCATATGATGCAAAAATAAAACTATATATCTAATTGTTTGCATGATGAATTAATTAGCAACACAAAAGCCTTGACTTCTCTTTGAGGTGAACTCCAAAAGAGAGGCATACTTCAAAATTCCAAAAGATCTGTTCTGACTTCATTCATTTGGATGACCTAACAGGTCAAAATGTTGATGACATAAAACATTACTTGTGTTTCTTTTTACATTCATGATATGTTCATTATCAGCCTTGTTAAGAACTCTTCAGACAGTTTGGACATTTTTGCAACATCCTGAAAATGAGTAGCTGAGAGAAAATAAGAAGGATATCACCAAGTAGCAAAAGTGTTGGCAAATTCAGAATATCTACAAAAAAGAATGAAAAATTCATATTCTTAGCATAGGTAAAAATTAATTACATATGATATGTGTGTGTCTTCTTCAAAAATGAAAGCATGATATAGTGAATAGAAAACTGATCTCCATGTCAGGTATATCTTCTCTGACATATATTAGCTGTGTGACCCTGGAAAAGTCTCTTAACTTCTTATTACCCTGTGGCAAATCTCAGAAACTATAAATTGTAGGGAAGGTGTTGACCTATCTTGGCAGAAAAAGTTCCTCACCTGGAGCTCCCTCATACCATTTAAATCATAGATCAGGAAAGGAAAAAGTGAAACTTCTTTAATCGACTCAAAAATTAAGCTGTTAATTTGACCTTAAAAACATGTCCTTTAAAATAATACTGAAGTTGTTTCTATAAAATATAAATATATCTGTCTAAAGATGCAATCTATGCTCTTAAAAAGCAATTTTAAAAAAACCTACACTATAAATGTGACCCACTTTGAGATTATCAAGTCAATTTTTATGATAACACTGAGAATTATATATGATATACATTTTACCATTTCTCCCAGCTTTCTTTTTGTGGTATCTCATTTGATGATTTCAACACAGTAACCAAGCAAGCAAAAGTAGACTTCACTACAGCATAATAAAAAGAAATAGAAGAATGCAAAGACAGAAAATGAACAAACCTTACAATTATAGTTGTAAGTATTAAGTGTATTTTTTGTTTCTCCAATACTTTGTTTTTTCTTCAAGATAATTATGTCTCCCTAAGAACTTCATCAATTGGGAATTGTTGAGATTCAATGACCTAACAGCGTTTTCCAAACTAATTTAGCTATAGAATGCTCATCTGATTTGAAATATGTTGACAGAATCTATAAACCCATAAATGCTGATATAGGAGACCCTGAAGTATAAAATAAAGAAATGGAACAAAACCTAGGGAGACTAATGGCAAAAAAAAATTTTTTTTAAATGGTGGTCTCAACAATAGAATTCAATGGGAACAGTTTGTCTTGTTGGTGTGATAAAAACACTGCTATTTAATACTCATCAACTCTGTACAACAATGAAAGTATTAATTGTACCATTTAACCAAAAGGAAAAGTGCAGTTTATTCAAAGTCACATAAATAGTAAATCATTGAGCTCCACCTCAAACCCAGGCCTTCTTGCCTCCAGTCATTACACTCACTTTAATGGTGTTTGTGTATTAATTCATACAAGTAACACCACAAATATTTGTCAATCAATGAAAAAAACTTATTTAAAAATTTTGACCTCCAGAAAAACCTCAAAAATGAAACCTAAACAATTTGGATCTTTATTTCCTATAATCCATTTAGGAATTATATAAAATAGCATTGGTATCATGTTTTTATTTTCATTTTGAAACACAAGTGACTAGAGTTCCTACAAATGTATAACAACTCTAGCTGTTTAAGACGGAAAATGAAAATCATTTTATGCATCCACAAAGAAATTTAAACAAGCATAATATTTCCATTTAAAATTTACCTAGAACACTATGGTAAATAGTATTCAGTAACTGTATATTTAGTAACTGGAAAAGATTTATCTAAACGTCTTAATCATCATATATACATTTTCCCCACCTGTGTTTTCATAAGCTTAGGGAACTCCAAGTATTGAAACTCCTTCCAAGACTACAAATCAGCA